CGACGTCCTAGGCCCCTGGGTGGGGCCCGACTAGTAACCAATGCCAAATCCGGCGAAACAACTGGCCGCTGTAATACAATTGTATAATAATAATATTATAATATTGCAATAATCATGATTGCTCAGCAGGCGGGCACAGCGGAGAGCTCTCCCTCCCCGTCCTTCCTTTATTGCAAAGAAAAAAAAAGTTGGTTTTCGAGACAGAAAGTTTGTCTTGAAATGCAACTTTTTCAAAAATTTTGGCGGTGGAAAAAATCATTCCCCACCCCCACCCCCAATCTTTCCTTAACTGCTAGGGGTAGTTTGCAAGCAAATTGCGCCACACTGCAGCTCTCGAAACAGCCTTGAGGGAAATTTTAAGATCCACATGGTATAACAGAGTTGGAAGGGACCTCGGAGGTCTTCTAGTCCACCCCACCCCCCTTGTTCAAGATGCGTTTTCCTGCAGAATGCGCTTTCTGCACTAATGATCCTCCTTTTTTTTGGTGGGGAACAAAAACTTAATGGGATCCTCTTTGATGAGTGACGGAGTTTTTCCCCCACCACTTTCTGAGAAGTGGTGAGAAATAAGTTTCTGCTGGTGAGAAATAAGTTTCTGCTGGTGAGAAATAAGATGGCTTGGCCAAAGGTTTGATGAAGCTGTTGTTAGAGACTTCCTGAATGCAAAGTATGGACCTTCTCCTTTGTGTGGAGAGGCATAAAGCAACCGCAGGAATTACCGAGGCCCTCGGCTCCAAGTTTATATTCCTTTTATTACATTTCCGATGCGAAGGTGGTCTTTGCAGAGAGCCAGATCTTCCGGTGTGCCTGTTTAAGGCTATTTGCACCTTAAAATATCCAGATTTCTTTTTTCCCCTCCTGGGATTCTTTCTCTCTTTCCCTCTCCCTCTTTCTCACTTTCTTTCTCTCTCTCTTTCCCACTTTCTATTTCTCTCACTCACTTTCTCACTTTTTTCTATTTCTTTCTCTCTCTCCCTCTTTCTATTTCTCTCTCGTTCTTTCTCACTCTTTCTGTTTTCTCTCTCTTTCACTTCATATTTCTCTCTTTCTCACTTTCTATTTCTCCGTCTCCCTCTTTCTATTTATTTCTCTCTCTTTCTCACTCTTTCTATTTCTCTCTCTTTTACTTTGTATTTCTCTCTTTCTCACTTTCTATTTCTCTCTCTCACTCTTTCTATTTCTCTCTCTTTCTCACTTTCTATTTCTATCTCTCCCTCTACCTCTTTCTATTTCTTTCTCACTTTATATTTCTCTCATACACTTTTTCACTTTCTATTCCTTTCTCACTCTTTCTCTTTCTATCTCTGCCTCTCTTTCTATTTCTCTTTCTCACTCGACTTTCTCACTTTCTTTCTATTTCTCTATTTCTCTCTATCTCCCTCTATTTCTCTCTCACACACACACACATTTTCTATTTCTCTATTTCTCACTTTCTCTCTTTCTTTCTTTCTTTCTTTCTTTCTTTCTTTCTTTCTTTCTTTCTTTCTCTCTCTCTCTCTCTCTCTCTCTCTTCTCTGTCCCCCCCCTGCTCTGTTTAGCCAAGCCATTTCCACCTGTTAAGTTGCCTTCAGCAAAGCTAAAAATATATCACTTTCCTGCCCCCCTCCCCACCTCCCAGTCTGTCTCTTGCTTGGACAGCTGTTCTCGGGACAGTGGAAGAGTCTCGTGGTAAGAATTTCGTAAGCGGGCAAGCAGAGATTCCTGGAGAGAAACTTAACTTTTTAATACAGGAGTTCCCCTCTTTGCTGTCTCTTTCAGGGTTGAGATATTTGGGGGGGGGGCTTGCTTTTCCTCCCGTTCAAAGGTCCTGGGTTCAGATGGGTTTCTGAGTTGGGGGTCGCCTCTACCCCCCCAATATGCAACCACACCTCAACAACCACACAGTGCTGCTGCTCCTTATAACTTCAGCCAGGGTGAAGTCCCCGAGGGTTGGCTAACCGCCTGTCTCTGCTGACCAGCATAATTTGGATTCTTGGCATTTTCTCTTGAATTAGAACAGCTCAGCCTGGATGGCATTCGAAAACACCCTGGTCTCTTCTTAGCCGTGAGAGAGAGAAAATAAAACGATGCTACAGACAGGGTCTCACTTTTGGCTCTCTTTTTTCTTGCATTTATTTATTGATTGGTTTATTTCTGGAAATCACCCAGCCTGGCGCATCATCGGCTTCGAGGGGGCAGTGTCCAATTTCCCAAGCTTGCACGGCGAGGCGCGGAATTAAAACAAAACCTTTTTTTGGAATATATTTGAACGTTTCATCTCGTCGCTTTGTCTCGCTCCGGAAGCCGGCTAGAGTCAGGACGAGCGGCATTATCCATTGAATAAATAAATAAAAAAATTAAACTTAGCTGCTTGTCTGCTTGAATTCTGCTGCTGGAGATGCTTGTTGTTATTATTTTTATTTTAAATGGATATAAGCTGACCGTCTTCACTAACCAGAAGCTTTTTAGAGTGAAATGGGTGGCAAATAAATTCAATCAGTCAAAAAATAAAATTAATTAATTACTACATTTTGTTACCTATCTTTGTCTTTCAACATCTATTTTTTAAGAAGATGTTGGATGACCACTTGTCTGAAGTGGTGTAGGGTTTCCTGCCTAAGGAGGGGTTTGGACTAGAAGACCTCCAAGGTCCCTTCCAACTCTGTTATTCTAGTCCACTTTTCTTCTTTTTCTTCTTTCTCTTCTTCCTCTTCTCCGTCTTCCTTCCTTTTCTTCTTCTTCTTCTTCTTCTTCTTCTTCTTCTTCTTTTTCTTCTTCTTCTGTTTCTTCCTTCTCTTTCTCCCCTCCTTTTCTTTTTTTCCTTTCTTCTTCTTCTTCTTCTTCTTCTTCTTCTTCTTCTTCTTCTTCTTCTTCTCCTCCTCCTCCTCCTCCTCCTCCTCCTCCTTCTTCTTCTTCTTCTTCTTCTTCTTCTTCTTCTTCTCCTCCTCCTCCTCCTCCTCCTCCTCCTTCTTCTTCTTCTTCTTCTTCTTCTTCTTCTTCTTCTCCTCCTCCTCCTCCTTCTTCTCATGGCAATAAATTTAATAAGCCCCAGGACCTGACTGTTTACATTTCCTCCTCCTTCCTCCTCCTCCTCTCTTTTTTTCCCCCTTGCGTGCTGTTGCATTTATTATAATTATTATTATTTTAAAGACATTAAAACACATCTTGTTGTCAGTTTCCCCCGGAGAGCTTTTTAGCTAAAGAGCAACAGTGGTAGGAACTTGCTGAGGGCCACCTGTGACCAGCCAGAGAAAGGAAAACAATCGCCTATTATTCAATTCCCAATAAACTCTGTTCCCAGTTCGAGCCACCTGTGTTTGTTAAGTTGAAGCTAATTTCCCAGTCAAATTTTATTTCTTTTCCCCCTCCTATACAATTTCGATCAGGCGCCAGAAGTTTGGAAGGATTTCCTGGTTTGGCCCTTAAAGCTAAATTAGGAAGGTTGGCAACAGATCGGGGTGATTTTCTGCTCGATTTTTGAGGCGTCCCTCTTTCAATTAAAAGGCAAAGATTCCGCTCGCGCATATGTGCTAGAAATCCAGGCGCCTGGCAACGGATTCATCTTTACGACGGTCACAGTGTCACGCAACCCTCTTTTTGTGACCTTCCGATGAACCAAGTCAACGGGAGGGAGGAGGGGGGCAAAGCCAGATTTGCTTAACAACCGTGTCCCTAATTTAATCGCTGAAGGGGGGATTCGTGTCCCACCACCGCGGAGAGAAAGGTTGTAAAAATTGTTACCACTCGTCTTTTTCCCTTCCTAACCTCTCCAGGTGGATATTTGAGCATTTCAGGGCATGAAAAGGGATGGCTGACCGTTCAAATTCTCAGGAGCTGGAGAACAACAGCTGGGTGATCACAGGAGCAGAGGTGAGCAGGGTCTTTTCAGGGGGAAAAGAGTTCCAGAGCATGTCAAGAAATCTTCCCACAGTGGTTTCCCCATCCCTTGCATTCACTGGCCTGTCAATAACCCACTTTTCCCTTCTTCTCCTTCTCCTTCTCCTCCTTCTACTACTACTACTACTACTATTACTACTACTACTATTACTTCTACTTCTTCTTCCCCCTTTTCTTCCCCTTTTTCTTCTTCCTTCTTCCTTCCTCCTCCTTCCTCCTCCTTCCTCCTCCTCTTCCTTCTTCTCCTCCTCCTTCCTTCTTCCTCCTCTTCCTTTTTCTTCTTCCTCCTCCTTCCTCCTTCTTCCTCCTCCTCCTTCCTCCTCCTCCTCCTTCCTCCTCTTCCTTCTTCCTCCTCCTCCTCCTTCATCCTCCTCCTCCTTCATCCTCCTCCTCTTCCTCCTCCTCCTCCTCCTCCTCCTTCTCTAGGCTGCCGCTGTGGAAGATCTCGGTTTCGAAGCATCCGAAGAAACCCAGTTAGAAGGCGAGTTAGCCATGATTTAGCACCGAGGGGTGGGTGGGGATACACGGGAAGACGAGATTCCCCCCACTCCCCCACATTGCCTGTTGTCCACAGGCTTCCCTCTTAAGCTCTGCCCTTTCCCGCCACCCGTGTCTGCAAAAACATCGGCAGCGAAAATTCCACATAGGGGTTAAAATGAAGAAAGGGGAGTATGAAAAGATTCTGGAGTTAAAATCAATCCATTGTGTGTCTGTTTTTTGTTTTTTCCCCGTCCCCAACAGCATCTCCGCCCGAGAGCGAGCTCTTCGTGGACAGTCCAGATCTGGAAGAAGGCAAAGCAAAGGTTGAATGTGGAAATTGTGGGTCGGGGCGTGTATATGTGTTTGTTTGTGTGTTTTGTGTGTGGCAAGCCACAACTCTGTAGCATTGGAAGGCTCCAGACTCAGAGAGACACTGCTTATCCATCCTTTAAATTAATGCAATTATCTAAATCTCACTGCACTTTCCTTTGGAAAGGTTAGCCCTCACTCCTGGGAAGGGAATCGGCTGCTGGGATTTCATTAATTGGGACATAAACACATGAAAACATCTTTTACATATGTATGTATGTATATCTGTCTGTCTGTCTGTCTATAATAAAATAGATAGCCACCTTCTCAGATGTTTAACATTTGTTTTACTTGATTCAATGTACTCTCTCTCTCTCCTCCTCTATTCTTTCCTTCCCCCATTCCCCTCCCTCCCTCCCCTCCAATTCCCTTCCCTTCTTTTTCTTTTCCTCCTTGTTCCTTTGCTTTTTTCCTTCCTTCCTCCATTCCCTTCCCTTCATCTTCTTCCCTTCCTTCCTTCCAATTCCCATCCCTTCTTTTCCTTCCTTCCTTCTTTTCAGTCCTCTCTCTTTCTTCCTTCCTTCTTTCTTTCCTTCCTTCTCTCCCGTCCTCTCTCCCATTCTTCCTTCCTTCTGTCAACTCGCAAAGCATCCCTGGTTTAATTGATTTAAATCAATTGATTTAATTAGGCCATCCGTCGGAACCCTGACACCTTCCTTCCTTCCTCCTTCTCTCCTGTCTTCCTTCCTTTCTTCCCCTCCAATTTCCTTCCCCTTTCTTCTTTTTTTCCTCCCACCTTATTCCTTTGCTTCTGTCCTTCCTTCCTCCCTTTGTCTTCTTCCCTTCCTTCCTTCCTTCTTCCCTTCCTTCTTTCCTTCTCCCCTTCTCCTCCCTCCTTCCTAGACAAAAAGATAAAAGAAAAAACAACTTCTCAGTCGGGACAAACTTCCAAACTTTTTCCCATCCAGAGTCAGGAGCCAGAAGATCACCTGATTTCCAGAGATCCTTCCAGCCAGGAATCTACTCTCTTATTGTTGAATGAAGAGAAGACGGACAGCCCACATCCAGAGGACGAAGGATTCCCCCTCTCACAATCACCCCCCACAGGTGACTTCACATTTCCAAAGCGGGGTCCATTTTCCGGCTGAGAAATGGCCTAAATCATTCTAACAAACACAGGCAGTCCTCGACTTACAAGAGTTCACTTAGTGACCATCCCAAAGTTACGACGGCACTAAAAAATGACAAGGCCGTTTTTCACTCTTACGACCCTCACAGCCTCTCCCGCGGTCACACGGTCGAAATTCAGGCGCCTGGCAACGGATTCATGTTTATGACGGTCACCGTGTCACGCAACCCCCCTTTTTGCGACCTTTTTGCGACCTTCCAAGTCAACGGGGGGGGGGGGGCGGAGCCGGATTCACTTAATGACCGTGTTGGTAACTTAACCACTGTGGGGGATTCATGTCACACCACTGCGGAGGGAAAGTTTGTAAAAGGAGGTGAAATTCGATTTCGCAACGGTCTCGTTTAGGAAACAGAATTTTTGGTTCCCATTTGGGGTTGTAAGTCGAGGATTTTCCTGCATTAAAATAAAATAAAATGAAATGAAATAATAATAAAATGAAATGAAAAAAATAAGAAAATAAAATAAACTAAAAATTAAAAAAATAAAATAAAAATAAAATAAAAATAAAAAATAATTAAAAAATAAGAAAATAAAAAATGAAATGAAATAAAATAAGAAAATAAAATAAAATAATAATAAAAAAATAAAAAATAAAGAAATGAAATGAAATAAAATAAGAAAATAATAAAAAATAAAATGATAAAATAAAATGATAAAATAAAATAAAAAATAAAGAAATAAATAAAATAAAATAAAATAAACCAAAAATAAAATAAACAAATTAAAAATTAACAAAATAAAATATATAAATAAATATATACACTTATTTTTAAAAGGAAAACCCCAAAAAATGTAATTTCACAATGGATCAACTTTGGGGTCATTTTGAATAATTCTCTTCCTTCAATTGACGGTGTTCTTTGATTGGCTGGGGAGGCAGGTGTGGTGGTCACAGGTAACACCCTCTGGCCGTCCAGCCAGGTGTGTGAGCCTGGGCCTCTCTTCCATGACGTTCAGGTCTCCCCAGAGATGAACAGAAGGCTTCTTCCAGCCTCAGGGAAGAGGTGGCGTCCCCCGAAGCCGACGTCGAGGGTCTGCGCCAACGGAAAGGCCGTGTGGACGACGTCCAGCAGGTGGGGCCGGAGCTGACCCGCGACCAAGCTAAGGAAGCTCCTGAGGACGAGGACGATGGGCTTTCCAGGGTGAAGTGGCTGCTGGCCGTTATAGCCATTGTTGGTTTTGGAGTCTTGGCCATGTTGGGTAAGCAGGAATAATGGTGGGTTGGTGGGGGTATATTTTCTAAATGATCTGTCATCTGTCTGTGTATCCATCTCTCTCTCTCTCTCTCTCTCTCTCTCTCTCTCTCTCTCTCTCTCTGATATCTATCTATCTATCTCTATCAAAATATATATCGAAATAGCTGTCGAAATATCTATCTTTGTCTCTCAATCTATCTCTTCATCTACCAGAATCTTATTTATCTGTCCATCCATCCACGCATCTATCTTCTATCTTTATATCACCTCTCTTCTCCCCCATTCTCTTTCCATTATCTTTCTGTTTTCTTTCTTTCTTTCGTTTTCTTTCTTTCTTTCTTTCTCTGTCTGTCTGTCTGTCTGTCTGTCTGTCTGTCTGTCTATCTATCTATCTATCTATCTATCTATCTCTTATCATCTATCATATCTTCTATGTCTGTCTGTCTATCCATCCATCTATGCATCCATCCATGCAATCTCCTAAACCATTCTTTGCCTCTCTCTCTCTCTCTT